TATATATATACACACACACACACACACACACACACACACACACACACACACACACACACACACACCTTTTCCAACTGAGACCTAGAACTTTCTACAAACTAGGAGATGCTATGATGAAACAGTACTCACTTAAGGCAACAAGAAAAATGCAGAAGGTTTAAGTAATGTGATGTCATTTTACAACAATTGAGCTGCACACACAATGTACAACTCTTACTAAGTTACCTATTGAAATGTGTACCAACTATGGCTCTTAGTCTTGAACATGTATTACCTGTGGTCTGTCTATCCTAATATATCTGAATAATGTCACAGCAGGTTTTGTTTCTCTTTCTTGCCACTCATTATTTCACTTATGTTCACGTCCTTGTGAGTCTCATCTCCACCCAGTGATCTTAGGTCTAGTAGGTCTTCATCTTCTATGACAAAGTCACTGTCTTCTGGTTCTGCATGTATAACAGCCACACCTGCCATGTCCATCTGTACCTTAATAGCTGCACCCATAAGGTCTTTCTTCTGTCATCTCAAAGTACCTCTTCAACAGATTGGCATGGTAAACCTTGGTCATCCCACCCACTTTCATCATATAATGCATTCTATTCCCCACTTCTTGTAATGCAATAGGTCCTTTCTACTGCTAGGTGAATTTGTTGTTGGCTGTCGGTAGCAGAACTAAGACTTTCTGTTCGATCTCCAAATGTCAATCCTTGACCTTCTTTTTATATAAGTACTTCTTACTGCTTTTGATGTGTTTAGCTTCATCAGTAAAACTGCTTTGATAGGTCTGTGTCAGTACTTCTTTATGGTTCTCTGTTTTTGTAAGTCTCTTTTTCTCGGGCAATGTCCCGTAGTTTCTGCAGTGACGGGTCTTTCTTCTGAACATTCTTCAGCTCCCATGGACTTACATTCAGGATGTCACTTTTAGAGACTTTAAGGGGCTTGATAACTTGCTTGTTTTTCTTCCCTTGAGCTCTTGTAGTGACTGCAGATGCTTCATCCATCTTCTTTCTGTCTGGTTTCTCCTAATACCTGGTATGTTTCCAATCACCAAGTCATATATTGGTGCCTTGATACACATGGCTTCAAGGTCTCATACATAATATGGAGTATCCACCTTTACTTTTGCTATGGGAAACTTTATCACTGTCTCATCAACTAGCACACATAGGCACACCTTGCCTATTATCTGGTTA